ATATGTGTTATGTTATTATAACATATAATAAGTGATAAAATATAAATGAAAATGATATGAATATATGATATAGAATATAAAACAAAAGAATAATAAGAATAAATGATAAATAAAAGGAGAAATGATAATCAATGATATAATAATAAAATCAAAGTATAAAAGATAAAATTAATATTAATATAAATCAAAAGAGAATAAATATAAAATGAAAATAGATATAAATGATAAGAATATAAAAATGAATAAGATGAATAAACAAATAAACAAATACATCTAAATATAAAAGAATAACAAGAAGAAAATCTAAAGAATATAAACATAAAAATAATATAATAATAAGAATATAATAATATATAGAAATAATGATAATTGTATTGAATGAATAACATGGATATGAAATAAATGGTGAGATAATAAATGGTATAAAAATGAAAAATAATATTTAAATAACAAGTCATAATAAAATAATAATACCAATTCTTATTTAATTTCAAGAAGACGAATCACGAAAGAATATATTCAAATATTAAGAAGACAAGAAAATAAAATAATAATTGAACAAGAAATGATATAATCAATAATGAAAATGAAGATATTAAAAGTATGATATTTTTATATAAAAGTCATGAAAAAAGGAGACAAATTGAACGAAATACAAAATAAATTGAAGAAATAATTAAATATATAATCATGAATATCATAAAGAAACGGAACATATACATTTACAATGTTCATTTCAATATACAGCAACAGATTATTTAATTACACTTTATTATAATAAGGAATTACTTTTGTAAAATAATAACCAAAAGAAAAAAATAGACTAGTGACCTAACGCATGTTCAAAATAAAATAACAACTACATTTTTGAATGAATTAAATAATACAAAAATAGAAGAGAAAATAATGAATATAAAAATAAGAACAATAATAAGAAGAATATGAAATCAAAGAGAGACAATATGTATTAATCACAATAATAGGATTTTTGAAGAAATACACTTACAACAAACTATGTCGACAAAAGACTCAATTAATAGAATGAGAGATGATGAACCTAATAATAACACATGACGTATCAAAACAATGAAAGTGAATACATAAGAAATGTCATTAGATAGAATATTATTTATTTTTATTATTAAGTGTAGCTTATTCAGAAGTGTAATATATTCATAAATTTTGTTATTGAGAAAAATAAATATTCTAATGTTTTTGGGGTTTATTACGATATCATGAAAAATAAGTTATTTTCATATTTCAATTGATTGTAGTTATTTTTGTCGTATTGATATCAATTATTATATTTTATTATCCAATTATAACTTATTTTTCTTGTCATTTATTCATTCCAGTATTGGAAATATTTCATATGACTCAAATATATGCAAATTAACAGCATAGTGTTTAAATAAAGAAATAATTTGATGATTGTATATAATTCATATTATTAATATGCGTGGTATTGTTGAACAAAAAGTTTCATAATAACTCAGAATGAATTGAGAAACAAAAACCATAAAAACAAAGAAACTAACAGAAATAGTAGTTTATACAGACTCTCTTTGTTTTTTTGTAGTTCAAGAATAAAAGATATGAATAACAATGAATTTGTCATTATTGTTGAAAAATTATTTGAAAGATGAACAATTGAAGTAAGGTTATCAACAAATAATATTATTAATGTAAATGACATAGACAAGAATAATACTTTTTAAGAATATTGATATAATAGTCAAATAAATATGTTAGAAACATACAAACATAAGTACAATTACAATGAAAATATTATGGAATTTATTGCAGAAATTATAGATGAAAAAATGAACAAATATAACTATAACTATTGAAGATGAACCAAAGAAAATAGAAGTGGAATACAAAACAAAATATAACTCAAAGAATAAAACACATTGTAAAAAAAATAAAAAAGGGGGTAATAGCTGATGAAGGATATTATCAAAACTAAATGAATAAAACACTCATGATGACTATATTCAGTGATTTATTGTTGTTTCTTCAAGAATTTCAGGTGTAGTTTCATTAAATATTATATTCATAATAGTTGTATTGTAATTTGATGTCAATGTTAATTTATTTTATATTTTGTTATTTCATTATTCATACAGTAACAATTCACATAATCAATATTTTATTTTGTCATTGCTGGTTTGTCTATAAACAGATAGTTTTAAGTATAAAAGAAAAAATGATATGATGAATTTAATGAATTTGAAATAATATAATTTCTGTTTGTTTCTTATGCCAATAAAATGAATTTTTTAAATTACACATTAATATTATTCTTATTTTATATGAAATAGTTTTTGTTATAACAGACTGATACAAATTATAATCACTCTAATAATTATTGAAATATTCACTTTCAATATTTAAAAAAGGAAAATGAATTGAAACAGACACTTAATTAGTTATGTTAATTTATAAAAGAAGAAACAAAGCAAGACTTATTATAATAATATGAAATATGTTATAAATATTAAACTTAACAACTTAAACAAAAATGTAATTAACATAACACACATTATCATAAAAGGTTGAGAAAAATGAAAGACATTCATTTCAATTAACGCCTTTTTGAATAATAATCAAAAAGTAAAGTATCATTATTAAAACCTAAAACAAGTAATAATGCAGTAAGTTGGCACTAAGAACAACTGACAAATGAAAGAATAAAACAAAAGTCATTTGAAGTGTAAATACAGTTATCAAACATAAAGAGTCAAACTTATAGTAATGAGATAAAAATATAATAACTATACTTTTTGTATTTTAATGTAAATAATTAATACATTCAATTAACACAAATTATTTCCAATAAAGCGTGTTGAATTATTTCATTACCAATTTTTATTTAAATCAAAAGAATAGTAAATGGAAAAAATCAAATTCAATTTTAACTGTTTATTGTTTTTGACTTGTCTTCTATTTTTAAAATAAAACAAATGAATAAATTAAAAATTGTTTATTAATTTCCATAAATAACTTGAGTAAATGTTAGTTTGTGAAAATAAATGATAAATATAAACACATTTTTGAAATAAAATAATTGGTTTCGATGAAACAAAAAAGGTTTATGTAAATTAAATGAAAGAAATACGATGTAAATGTTATAAAATTATTTATTTTTCAATAATTATTTTGTTGTTGCAAACTAATTGTTCTAAAATTATTCGATATAAATTATTTACATATAAAATAAAAGGGGTATGTTTGTTTTACCATTTTTAAAATACGATGGTTATGATTATAATTCGTCATTATACTTATTTTTACATTAAACGGTAAAAAAATGACAAACATCATTCCTGAAATAAAAAATAATTTTGTAGTTATAACAATTGTGAAATATTTAAAGGAGTTGAGTAATAACTAAAATATACAATGAGCGTACCAACAAATATAGAAGGTAAAAAGACTAAGCTACTTTTAATTGGAGGAACAGGTGATGGTAAAAGTTCACTTGGTAATTTTATTTTGAAGAAGAATGCTTTTGATGTCAATGACAACCCAAATCCAGTGGTTAAACCAACAATGGGATTTTATGGAGAAGGTGATAGAAGTGATATATTTGTTATTGACACTCCTGGTCTTCTAGACTCAAGTGAAATGGATGAAAGTCAGTTGAATCAAATGATAAATTACATTAATGAACAAAAAGGAGTAGATGGTATTATTCTTGTTTTGAACTATAATAGCGTTGTTTTTTTGGATAATCTTGAATCATTGATTAAAAAGTTGTACAATGAATTTCCAGTTTTTGATTTCTGGAAACATGTTTGTATTGTATGGACTAAGTGTTTTTATTACACTAGTGAGAAGAAATTGGAAAAACAAATGGAAATCAAAAACAAACAGTACCAAGAACAATTAAAAAGACTTGATAAAGAAACTACTGGAAAAGAAGATATTACTTTCCCCATGTTCTTTGTTGATTCGCAACCAGATGAAGGGGGAGATAATAGTAGAACGGATAAAGAAATTGAAAAGTTTTTAGCATGGGCTCGTAGTTTATCTCCAATTAAGCCAATTGAGAAAGTTATGAAAGAAAATACTGAACCAAAACCAGTTGTTGAAGAAGAAAAAAGAGATACAGAAGGTAAAGAAGAAACAAAAAGTTATATAGAATTTACTGTTGAGGTTAAGAAAAGAGTGAAAAGAGTTGGAACTGATGGAAAAGTAAGTTACAATGATTGGGAAGAAATAGTCACCGAAAGTAAAGAAAAACCACTTCTAAAAGAAGACTCTAATAATTCAAAAGAAGAAAATCCAAAAGAAGAAATTAAAAAATACTGTAATGATTTTTTAAATCATGTTTCCTCTTCATTTTGATGATAGTGCTATGAGTTTAGGCAGATATTGAGCGTTAAGAATAACAAATAATTCTCAAATTTACTTTTTACTATTTTTTTATTTTATTTTGGAAACAATAAAAATCAATTTTTATTGAAATTTAAAGGTTATATGAAATAGAAATGAGTTTAAAATGATTTGATATTACTTATCAAACTATTTCTTCAACACAATAAAAACATAAATTTATTGCATCTAGAATCGGAGATGTTATTCTGTTTGATATGTAATTTAAATAAAAATGAGATAGTAATTATTATGAGAAAAATAATCGTATTTTATAACATTTGTTGTTTATTGAAAATGAAATAAAACATTAATTATAAATTGAAGTATATGTAAAAATGATACTTCTCATATTAGTGTTTTATTTTGACTCTTTAATAACATTATCTTCATTAAACGTTATACTAACTATTTCAATACAAACATAAATGTATTGTTGGGATAAAAAATAAAAAGGGGTGTGAGTTTATTGTAAAATAAACATTATAAAAATAGTCAATTTTCAAAAATTATGTAAAATTAATTTATTTTGGTTTTAAATATCCTATCAAAAGTTGTTTGTGCATATTAAAATGATGTTTGTATTTCAAACCAGAAAATAAAACAAAATGTCATGTTAAATTATCGATAAAATTCTTCATTTATTTTTGATTATTTTTATTCTGTTAAACAGAAAAGAATATTTTTAATGTAAAAATAGAGACAAATAAAAATACTTTGTTTCAGTAATAGAAAAGTTACGTTACAATAGATGACTAAAATAATGTTTATGTGAAATTTTAGAAAATTATTTTATTTAAAATTGTTGTTTTCGTTTAAATAACACATGTTATGAGGAATATTTTAACAATACAGAATTGAAATTAATTATTTCAAATGAACATGAAGCATTTTTAATGATAAACATCATTCGACAAATTTACAAATAAATATTTGTCATATTTAATTACTATTTAAACGAATTATAACTGAATATTAATCAATGAGTAGCAATTATTCAATACAACATGGTGATATAAAAAAAACTAAATTACTTCTGATTGGAAAAACAGGTGATGGTAAAAGTTCACTTGGTAATTTTATTCTGAAAGACAATAAATTTGAAACAAGTGATGCTGCTAAATCATTGACACAAATTACAAGTGGATGTTATGGAGAAAGGTGATAGAAGTGATATATTTGTAATTGATA